CAAATCCTTGTGCCAGGTCTGTGCTCGGTGTGAGCACTGCAGGCCAGAGTGAATTGTGGATCATGGAGTCAGTTAGTTTGGAAAAGCTCTCAAGGTTGAGTCTGTCTGTCTGTTCCCCAGCACTGCCAAGGCTGCCACTCACCCATGGCCCCAAGAGCCACATACACAGTGTTTTCAAACCCATGCAGGGATGGGGACTCCACCACCTCCCTCAGCAGCCCTTTCCGGTGCCTCAGCACCCTTTCCATGAAGAAATTCCTCCTGATGTCCAGCCTGCCCCTCTGGCACTGCTTGAGGCCCTTTCAGCCTGTCCTTTGTTCCCTGGGAGCAGAGCCCAACTCCCCCGGCTGTCCCCTCCTGTCAGGGAGTTGTGCAGAGCCACAAGGTCCCCCTTCAGCCTCCTTTGCTCCAGTCTGAGCCCCTTTCCCAGCTCCCTCAGCTGCTCCTGGTGCTCCAAACCCTTTCCCAACTCCGTTCCCTGCTCTGGATTTAATCCCATCCCTTAATGCCATTGTGGTGAGGACCCAGGGTGCTGGTAAGGCTCACATCCAGATGAAAATCCCACCACAGKTGCCAGAGGAAATGGATGTTGTGTCCATGAGAGGCAGCTTGCTCAGGTACACCCCAAAATGCACGTTAAAGCTGTTGTGGGGTTTGTGGAAGCAGCTGCTGCAGCTCTGCCGTGTGCAGAGCCTGTTGTCCAGCACTTCCTGCTGCTGAATCATTCCGAGGGCTCTCCGTGCAGGAAGAGCTCCAGYTCCAGTGCTTCCAGGGTGTCGTGTTGCCCTGTGGCAGGGCTGCTGTGGGATGCGATGTGCTGGAAACCACAGCTGCTGCTGGTGCTGTGCCAGCAGCGAGGCAGGAATGATCCATGGAAACGGGGAGCATCCCTGACCCTGGCATAGCTCCCGCCAGGGCAGCGAGGAATCCTCTGCTGGCTGCATGTGACAGGCTCTGCCCTTTCTGACCCCTTCCCATCAACAGCGGACAAACAAAAACCTTGGAAGCGCGTGGAGGGGAAAAAKGAAACCAGGAGCTGTTTGTGCTGCTGGTCTCTCCCTGAACGTGCAGGTGGAATTTCCTCTGGGGCAGTTTGAGCCTCTCCCAGTGCAGGGATGTTCCTGTTCCTGCACAGCCCTGTGGCATCTGGCATTCCCTGGGCACCAGGAGAGGCCCTGGAGGGATTGTGGAGCTGCAGGGAGATCCAATTGTGGCTGCAGTATACTYCTTGCACAAGCAGTGCAGCAGTTCTGTGCTCTCCATGGAATTCCATCACTCCTAAAAATCCCATTTTTCCTTSCAAATCCTTTCTTGGGGTTCAAGCGATTTATTTTGTGGTTCACATTCCAGCTCCAGCTGATCACACACAAGGCAGGTGCTCCCATGCTTTTGGAGCTGGGAGAAGCTGATCCTTTTGCTTTCCTGCTTGGATGGGCAGTGTACAGCTCCACAGGGTGCTCCTCAGTGCCTGTCTCTGGCACCTGGTCCCTCCACACCTTGATCCCAACAGATCCTTTGACATCACCTTAGGAGAGTCTGCAAAACCTAGAATCTGTTGGGAAGGAGCTACTGGTGCCTGTCCATCATTCCCATCGTTAATGTTTCCAGATGCTCAGCCCCAGTGGAGGTGTAATTAACACAGACATTAATTTAATTACCCAGTCGTGGTATTGCCTCCATCTTGGCATTCCCAACTGTTACAGGCTTGGAAGCTTCTGAAATTCGGTAAGTAGTGGGTAAATTGTCACTCATGTCCCCCCAAAGGGATTGAAAAGTGTGGATGCATTTTCCAACAGAATTGTGGATTGTTTCCTCAGCTCTGCTCTTCCTGAGGGATAATCCCACCTCCCAAGGTGAGCTGCTTCCCTGCCAGTCCTTGAKGCTCCTCCCTCACCTCTGCAGCAGCTGCACCGTTCTCTTGCTGGGAGGTTTCTAAAAACCAAAACCATTTTTGGACAGTTCATCACCATCATGTGAGGGAAATTTGGGAACTGCCCAGCCTGGAGCAAGCCTCATGCCTTGCTCAGAAGGGTGAGGGGCAGGTGGGAGCCCCTCCAGCAGCACATCCTGATCCCACCCTGCAGGATCGTGGCACGTGGAGTCATCCCTGCCAGAGAATAGAGAACAAACCAAGCCCTTTGGGAAGGAAATGGGATCATCTTTAGGACAGGGTTTACTCAGGGCTTTGTTTTGGTRCTGCCTCTCCTGTGCAGTCTCTGCTGCTCATTCCCTGCTTGTTCCTAATTCCAACCATGCAGGGATGGGATAAAGCTCTGCTGAGACTCTGCATGATGAATAGTGAAAGTTATCCTAAGGATTCAGGGAAAACCTGCAGCTCAGAGGTRAGGCGGGTTCTTCCTGAGCCTGGCTGGGCTTTTCCCCCTGGATCACTGCAGCCTCCTGGGATAACTCCTGGAGTCACCACATCCTTCCTGCTGGCTCRAGGCAGGATCCTCCCTCCCCACACTGTCCCTTCTATTCCCAACACCCTCTGGGGATATGGGGTCCAAGGAGAGATCCCAACAGAGGTGCTCCAGGCTGCTCCATCAGCAGGAGCCCACCCAGTGCCCTGAGTGCGGGTCCCAGAAGGACCAGTCCAGCAGAACAGGGTGATGAAACCTCGMGGATCCCAACCTGCCTGCTCCAGGACAGGCTCAGCAAAGGCTCGGGATAAACCGGAGCTGTGGGCCAGACTGTTCATCCCAAGCTTGGAGGAGATTTGGGAACCTCTTAGGCTGGTCTTGATGTGGATTTGATAGTTCCAGATGTTTGCCTGACTTCCTCCCAAAAAAACCCACCATCTCCTTCTCGTGTCCAGTCAACCAAACACTCTGGTTTTTTCCTGCTTTGTCCTGTTTTTTCAAGGCRCACAGTGGGTTATCCTGTACTTTCCTAGACTAAACAAACCCCCCTTCAACCTCATTTCGCTCATTTTATCAGTCTTCCTGCTGCATTCCAGACTCATTCCATGCCAACATCTTTTTCCCGAGAGGAATGATCTTGCCTGCAGGGCTGCCCTTGGAAAATGTCTTCTCGTTCCTGCTGGATCCTGCACCACTTTTAGGACCATTTTTTCCACATGTTTGCTGCCTTTCCATCTGTTTCRTAGCAGTGCTCTGAAATCTTCCTCCCCAGAGCACAGAGCTTCACATCTGGACCAAGACAGATCCACCAACACTTTGGGAAACTGTATCAGCTCCACAGGGTTGGGAGAGCATCTGCAGAAGTTTGTTGAGCTCTTTCYGCAAAGCCAAAAATCAGGAGCAGGAGGGATGAGCTCATGCAGGTGACTGCAGGAGACTCCTGTTACACCCAGCTCCGGCAGAAGGCTGCAATGAGGAGCAGTGAATGAGTATTGCATCCCACGGGCATTAATTAATCCCAAAACCTCACCACTTCTCTGTGGCAGTGACCTCACATGATGAACCAGCAGCTCCTTGCCCCATTCCTGTCGATAGCTCATCCCTGAGGAGGCAGGAATGACCTGAACGAGGGTAAGATCTTTGAAAAGGACTTTATYGACACATTTCAGCCTAAAATCACCCCAAAAAATATGCTGGGGATGGAGGAGCCACGAGCGCTGGTGACAAATGACAGGCAGGCAGGAGCCACGCTGAAAGCAAAGCTGGAGAAATCGGAGGAGAAGGATTCTTCTGGCTTTGCATCATCGCAGCCCAACCACATCTATTTTTGCTGTAGGCATGGCATCGAGCACCCGTCACCGCTATTCCTACTCCATCCATCTCCGCGTGCCAGGGAAGACTGGCAGTGGGATGGAGCGGCGGGAGGAGCGGGGTTTGGAGTGTCCTTAATTGCCTTAAAATCTGGGGAATTCGGATCACTGCCCTTCACCCCCTGCACAGGAAGGGACAGCTGGCCCTGGGACACGGACACAACGCTCCGTTCCAAGAGCACAAGGCCACTTGTCACCCCCCCAGCCAGGATTATTCCACACCTTATTCCAGTCTCCAATCACAACCTGGATGCGCTYCTGTAAGGATTGGCCTTTTATTCTCAAAAAGAGAGAGAAAAATGTCACTTAGCCTGCAGGCAGGTGGTGACACCAACTCCTGGTTACCTGAGGACACCATTCAGCAGAGCCCCAGAGGCTGCAGAACTGGCTACCAGCGGGCTRAGAACTTGACAGCTCGTGGCTGGAGTGTCCGGCACTGGCTCGGCATCTCCTGGAGCCTTTCTGGCAATGGGATSACACGTGGGGATGGGTGGTTGGACACTCTTGTTCTCCAAAAAAGAGCATTCATCCACTTGTAAAAAAATAATTATTTAAATTATTTATTATATTTACTTGTTTTAATTGTTTTAATTAATTATACATATATAAGATGCGTTTCTTATTTGTTTCTTTACTTCGGTTCCTGAACGAAACTGTTTTCCTCTCCCTGAAGGAACTCCTGAAGGTTGGGGTGCRGTGGATTCTGGGGCAGAGGAGAGTTTGAGGGTGCTGGGGTCAGGGTAATGAGATCAGGGGTGATGGAGTCCGGGGTGATGGCTGCAGCGGGTTCCAGGGCAGAGCAGGATTTGGGGTGTTTCTGTGGTGATTTACAGGGCAAAGGGGCTGGAATGGTGGCGGGGGTTCCAGGACGGGGGAGGGGTTGGGGGTGAGAGGGTTCAATGGGTTCCAGGGCAGAGCAGTTGGAGGTGCTGGGTGTGTGGCATCCCAAAGCAGGGAAGGGATCGGGGGGCTGGGTGCTGGGCTCCAGGACAGAGGGATCGGGGGGCTGGGTGCTGGGCTCCAGGACAGAGGGATCGGGGGGCTGGGTGCTGGGCTCTAGGACAGAGGGATCAGGATGCTGGGTGCTGTGGGTCGGGGTGCTGGGTGCGGTGGGTCGGGGTGCTGGGTGCGGTGGGTTCCGGCACAGAGGGGCGGGGTGGCACAGGGCAGCTCTCGCCCCGGCCCATCCCGTCCCCGCAGGGGTCTGGCGGCTCCACCTGCCCCCCCGCGGGGCGGCCCCGGGGCCGGGCCGGGCCGGGCTCCGCCCGCCGCTGTCGGAGGCTCCGCCGGGCCGGGGCCGGTGGCGCAGAGCGGGACCCTCCCGAGCCCGCGTCCGTCCCGCTCCCGGGAGGGGAGGAGCCGGGGGGGCTCCCGGGGAGGAGCCCGGGGGGCTCCCGATGAGGCGCCGGAGGATGAACCAGCTGTACATCGGCAACCTCAGCCCCGCCGCCACCGCCCAGGACCTCCGGCAGCTCTTCGGGGAGCGGCAGCTGCCCCTGCCCGGCCAGGTCCTCCTCAAGTCCGGCTACGCCTTCGTGGACTACCCGGACCAAAACTGGGCCATCCGGGCCATCGAGACCCTCTCGGGTGAGCGACCCCCCCCGCGCCCCCCGCATCCCCCC